GATCCTTGTTCTGTTCAGAGCATAACTGTTGTTGTTGAATTTTACAGCAGGGTGACCCAAGATGCCATTCTTGTGTTATTTAACTCTTTTTCTGGCATAAAAACCTTTTTCTTTTTTACTTTAGCAGCTATTGCAGGTGAAAAATGAAATACCTTAAATATATGGCACCCCGCCGTCTAATAACTTGAAATGTTCCCAACCTTCCCCAGCCCCCCTGTAACCAACAACTGGTCTCTTGTCCTGCTACTGATTTTTTTGCTTAGTTTACTAAACGTTTATGTAGGGCAAAATAAAATGCATGCATATTTCTTTATGTTTTTTTAATACAGAAAAAATACTTTTCTATGGCGGTATGGAAAGGGTCCTGCACCACCCACTTCTTGCTGTCAATCACCAGGGAAGCAGAACTGATGGGGAACTAGTCCCTCCGCGTCCCCATTAGGCTTTGTGCACTCAATCTATAACAAATCCATCAAATGTAACCTCTCTGCACTTGCATTTAGTGCAGTCTTTGAAAATCCTGCTGTTTATACAAAGCTGCGTGTGCTATAGAGATACCTTTGGTTTAATGCAGGACCCTCCTTGAAGGCCTATCAAAATGTTCACAAATCAGGTCTAAAATGCATGAAGATCTTAAATCCAGGGATCCCATCCTGAAAAAAAGTAATTTCAGGGAAGTGCCCTCTGTCCCCCCCCCCCCCTCCAGCAGGTTCAACAACAAAGAAGACAGCACCCCCCTGAAATGATGGCAGATAGCAAAGAAGCTAATGCTTCCTTTGCTATCTGCTGCTGCTGTCAGAAAACAAACAAATGGCATAGGAACTAATAGCTAGATTGCTATTGGCTATCTCAATAGCAAGCTGGCTATTGCACCCACCCTCTGCTGTTGTCATTCAGCAGGGGTGGACCTGAAGGAGAACTTCAGGTCCACCTCTGCTGATTGACAGCAGCAGTGGGCGGGTGCAATAGCTAGTCTGTTATTGGCTATTGCAAATTGAAATAGCCAATAGCAATCTAGCTAATAGTTCCTACGACGTTTTATTTTATTTTTTTCTGACTGTCGGCGGCTGGCGGCCCCGATGTCAGAAATAAAAAAAAAACAGACAGCACGGAAAGGTTTGCTCTGCTAGATGGAGCACAGTAAACCTTTCCGGGAGAAAATCTTTCTCACCTGGGTGTCTGGGAGCCGCTATCTAATAGCGGGAGGCTACCGGAACATCAGGGAGAGTTGAGATGTCTGTATATCATGCTTGAACGTGCTTTAACAAAATATGCAAAAATGCAAATATCATGGAACATGCAGGTGTAAAACTCACCAAACACATTACAAACTGATAGTACAATCTTCTTTAGATCTACAAATAGTGTAAGGGCCTGTCTGATTAGATACACATTGATTGGATAGTTTAGGTAGAGCCTCATATTACATATTTTTGGTAAATCTGTAGTTTATGGTACCCCCAATCTGTCCGCCTATCTCCTACACTGCCCACCTTTAGGCGATCCTTAAAAACCCATCTCTTCAGGGAAGCCTATTCCACCTCAACATAACTGCCTTTTACTTCCTCCAATAACTCAATCTAAACAATTATTACCTTTTGTATCACTTGCCCCTCCTACTAGATTGTAAGCTCTCACGAGCAGGGCCCTCCCAACCCTATTGTATTGAAACTGTATTGTATTGTAAATTGTATTGCAACTGTACTGCCTCCTCCATTTTGTATGGCGCTATATAGATCCTGTATTATAATAATTAGGGATGCACCGATACCGATACTGGTCTCGGTGCCGATGCTGAGTATTTGGGTGAGTACTCGTACTCGCCCAAATGCTCCGATGCCTAGCCCGATAGTTCCGGTATCAGGAAGCCGGGCAGTGCGTCATTACACGCTGCCCGGCTTCCTGATTGGCCAGGAAGCTGGCTCCATGCTCTCTCGTCACTTATGGTTGAGGGAGGGAGGAGGGAGCATGGAGCCATGGACCATGACGAGGGAGCATGGACCATGACGAGGGAGCATGGACCATGACGAGGGAGCATTGACCATGACGAGGGAGCATGGACCCGGCTTCCCAGCTAATCAGTAAGCTGGGCGCCACGTCATTACACAGCGCCTGGCTTCCTGAAAGCCGGCTTCATGCTTTCTCGTCACCTAGTGACAAGAACCATGGGGACGGCGTCTCTGCTAATCGAGAAGCCGGGTGGCGAGTCTTTACACGCCGCCGGGCTGCCCGGATAATCAGGAAGCCAGGTGGCGAGTCATTACATGCCGCCTGGCATTCCTGAATGGGACTTCTGGTACTCGGTATTCAGTATCAATGAGTACCGAAAAAAGAATATCGGTACTCGCATCTCTAATGATAATAATAATAATAATAATGGTACAGTCAGATTGTAACATGTATTGTGAGCCTAAGGCAGGATTTCCTTTTCTCTATATGATCTGCCAGTTGAGTGAGTAACAAATATTGACCTTAATCCACTGGAAAGTATATATTAATCAAACAAAAAATCATTATCATTTAAATAAATTAATTGACTAAGCCTACCGTCTGAATGACTCCAATATTCAAACAAGCATTCATATTATGCATGTGGCTGTCCTGCTTGAAGTATCCTGCTAGTTACCAATACTATCATTCTCTAAATGGCCCTCAATCTTACCATGTGGATATACAGGCCGTGTTCCCAGGTTCCAGGCCTGCCCTCACCTGCAACACCCTGCAGCCTCATTCACACACTTTGGAGAGTCAGAAGGAGGGTGGACATCATGGAATCATTTGACACGAGATTGCAGACCCAAGGAGAGGCATGTGAATTGCCTAATTTAACAGCACGTTCTGAAGGCTAATACCCTAAAAGAAAATCTGAGATGACATTCTGGCTTTAGCATAGGTGTTATGTTCATTGGACGGCTTTGACTGTTCATTCATCAATTCGTGTTTCCTTTTCTATTACAAGAACAACAAAAACCTAATACGATAAACTGATTTATCATTACATTTCTATTAAAGACAATTATAGTTTGCTTTCTGAAAGAGCCGCAGGATGTTATGGTAAAAGAGCAGAAGATAAATATTTGGGTTCTGATAAATGGTATAATTAAGTTCTGATTTCCAAAAGAACGTTAAAAACCAGCGAAATAAATTATTTGTGGTCTATTTAGCAAAACAATGCATTATGTTAATGCGTAAATAAATGTAACTAAATTACAGGTTTGAAAGGTACAATTTGAGAACACAACAAAACTGGTGAAAGCAGCTTAATTATTACAGTTTTTACTGATCGTACCTCAGACTTATTGTGTGTACCTGTCACCTAGTACAATCTAACACCTGGATGTCCACACTGTGTATAATAACTTTCTGAGGTACCCTGTGCCCCAAAAACGTCAATCAGTGTTCCAGCCAAGAACTAACAGCCCACACTGATAGCAGAAGGTCTCGAACACTAACAGTCGGGAGCCACCCAGAATTGTTCCTGATCATGTGATTACCATGATATAGCTCTTTGCTTGGAGAAAAAGGCAAAGTGTTAGAAAAAGTATTTCAGTGTGTTAAACAAAATACAATCATTTTAAATTTAAAAGATTACAAATGTGGTTTAAAATTGTTATGTAGTTTAAAATTGTCAGAGTATTTATTAGAACAATGTACCATGTAAAAGCCTTATATGTCCTAAAAAAAAACCAATGTAACAATAATTATGTAGGTAAATTAGTCAGTGGGTTAGTCTAAGTACAACTATGGCATCCCAATAAAAAATATGTGCTGTAGCACCTAATTATAAGTGGATCTGCATTCTTAGTCTCCACAAATACTTGTAGACCATGCCAGGGAAGTCCATCTAATGCAGCTTCCTGTGATGGAGTGGCAACAATGCTGCACTGCTCCTGAATTCATAGCAGAGTTGCCACTCTCATGTAGGCTGTGCCTGCTTGCATTACAGTAGGATGAGAAAATGTTGCAAGGGGTTTGGCTACCATCATTGTCACAGGTGATTCACAAGCCTCTATCTTGTCAGTCAGCACCTGTCCACAACTAGTCCCGCCCATTGCCTTCTGCATGCAAGAACTGGCACTGCTGCTGAAACTCTCCCACTGTGATCTGCAGTGTCTGGGAGGGGGAGCATCCCCGAGTCTGCTAAATATGCTCTGGGCTTGTAGGTTTCAATTACCTCTTTCTGAATGATCATGGTTGTGCATAATTAGATGACAGACTCAGGGGCGTCCCGAGGCTGGGTGTCACCTGGGGGCGGAGACCGGGTGACTCCCCACCGCGATGTCATCAAACATGCGCCTGTCGTTGCCGCACGTGTGCGCAATGACGTCATCGCGCATGTGCAGTGGTCTTATTGACGACTGCCGGCGGCCATCTTGGTGATGGACACCGGCAGTGAGGAGGGGACGTTCACCCGGCGGGATAAGGTATGCCGCTGGGGTCACCTCCTCTCTCCTGACACTGTCGGACTCTCAGTCCGTCACCAAGTGCCCGACTTTTCATAGGGGGTGACACCAAAATGACTGTCATTCCTTATATGTGCCTGCATATTACATATTAAAATGTTGGGGAGCAATTTTAATCTTCAACTGCATGGAAGGAATATAGCATTGGCAATAGGTTCGGGAAGAGCCCTTCTCTCCACAGACTTTAGGAGGCAGTCATATGACCAGAACAGAATTTCCCTCCTTTGTAACAGCCCGGGCTTGTAATTTAGTTGCTGTTTTGGCAGATTTTTACATCCAGAAAACAGAAGTGCCATTCTGAAACAATCTATTTTCTTCTCTCTAGATCAGTGTACTGTAATATTGGGCAAAATGATGAATACATCATAAACTATTAAATTACATTTACACATTTTGTTCCAAACCCTGGAAATCCAGATTGAATCAAATACGCAATTAAATATTTTATTTTGGTTATGAAAAAAAAACCATTTATGATAACGTGACTGTTATACATCTCTTATTAGGAAGACACAACCTAAAGATTTGTTTTAAGTGTAAAAAAAATATAGAAGTTAAATATATTATATCTGTTTTGCCTATGAATCCCAGCCAAAGTCGTGCCCAGTCATTTGGTAGAACTTCATATTGAATGGCCTGTAGAATTCCCGTAGTCTCTGGACCACTTCAGGGTCAATGTTGGGGTGAATCCTACCCTTGGTTTTTCCCAAACAGTGGGGTTTGCTGCTCCCTTCTGCCTTCTTCAAACAAGGAAAACCTTTAGTCTTATTAAAATAAAAATGTTTGTCCGTTATTATTCTCTTGAGTACCAGAAAATCCTGAACGCGCCCCAGTTCTCCTGCGGGATCGGTGATCAGTCTCTCCCCGCTCACAAACAGGATCTGGCTCATAGGAAAATACTGGAGCCAGTTCTCCAAGTGCTTGGCATAGATGCCAATCTGGATGGCACTCCATGAAATATCGATAAGACCCGTAGTCCTATTTTTAAACGTCAGGCTCTCGAAAGTAGGGATGTCGGGCCTCTTGGACAACGTCTGGGTGTAATCCGATATGACTCGAGTCACTGGGTCCCTCACCACCACAATAAGCTTGGCGTCCTTTGACATTGCTGAAATACGGGCCGGGGCCTCCTTGGTCACAAAATAACTGGGAGTTTTCTCCATGGTAATCTGGCCATCGAGAGTCCGCGGCATCAATTCCCTACCAAAACAAAGAAAAAACAGATGAATAAAATCACAAACTATAAGCTATAACATGCCATGAAATACCGTTGTTGTCTACATTATCACATAATTAAACCTAGCAAAATTAGTTTTCTGTATGACACTGTGGGTAATGTCAGAATCTTCGTTCCACCTGTACAAGCAATTCACAAGGCATTCTTTCAATAATACAAATTAATGTAATGACAGTTATCTTTCTGGTTCAGAACCAAAGGACAGCTCATACAGAAACCTTTGACTCTAAGTGATATCAGACTCAGCCTCTAGTAAAAGACAAATGCCTCTGTAGAGACGAAAGAAAGTAGGGAACTGTCTATATCCATCCATTCCCAAACAGCCATTACTTACTAGTGTCCATGGGAAGAGCTGTGTTTTGTCCGATGGAAATATACACCCTTAACCCTTCCCCGGTGCACATTCAAATCTCAACAAATGATAATAGGAACAACTCAATAAGCCAAACTGATTGATATTTTTAGCAAAGCAAGCTAAAGAGAGCTAACTAGGAATGTACCGATATATCGGCCGCCGAAACATAGCGGACGAAAATTACACTTTTGGCATAATGCCGAAAGTGCCATTTTCTGGATGATACAGTGGTGCATCTGTTCTTTCTCTCCTCCCCGCTAGGCGCTGCCCTGTGTCCCAGCGGGGAGGAGAGAAACTGTGACAGCCGGCCGAGCACTGTGAGCGGCCGGCGTCTCTCCTCTCCGCACCGCTCAGCCTCCTGTCAGAGATTGGCAGAACGGTGTGTGGGTGGAGACAGCCAGCACTGTCACAGGAGGTTCAGCTCTTCTGATATATGAACAGACTATTTAAACGTTTGTCTTATTTTTGTGCTGCATTAAAACAGCAAACTCTGCATAGGGACAGCTTCATCCCAGCTAAGAATAGAAAGGCCAATGGGAGGGTTGTGTTGGTTGGTGCATCCAACTGGCTTGTTAGAAAATCTCTCTCTGATTCTATTCATGGTGCAGCAAGACACAAAGCTGTGGGTACCAGTGTGTTTGTGGACAAGCAGGTGCCTTCTCATCCATTGTTCTCCACGCCAGCCCATCTATAGCCACCTGAAAGCCAAAGTAGCTTGTCTCACCAGTCATTAAGCAGGGGTATTAACACTGAACTCCAGGCAAGAGCTAAATACATTAATAAAAATACATATATGGGAGCTGTTTTACCTGTCAAATGATTTATATTTCTGTTCATCCAGTCTTGAGATTAACAAGGCTTTGCCACACAGCACAGCCCTGTGTGGCAGGAGAGAGGACCTGATTTTCTCTGCTGTGGTTAAGTAACACTCATAGGCTTTTTCCCCACCCCCATCCTGTGACTGGACACTGAAAGGAGAATCAGATAGTTGATGGCCCCACTCTCTCCTCCTATCAGCATCTTTTTTTTCACTGCAGTACCACTGCCTGGCTCATTGTGCTGCTTCTCACTTCCCCAGTCTAAGCTTTGCTGTACGGGGGCCGCAGGAGGCTAAACCTAAGTCATATTCCAGTTCTTATACTGCTTTTATTTTATTTTTAAATGCATTCAAGGATGTATCAGTGAATACAGCTTTGCATTTATTTGCATCTTTTATATCTGCATGGAGTTTGGCTTTACATGAGCATTATTATAATAACTGAAAATGTGTACTGACTAAAAATGCGCTCTTGTTTCCTTTAACCTGAAACCAAGAAGCAGGAGAACTAAAAAGTTAGTGCCAGCTATTACCTGACTCAGCTGTGTATACAATCTCATTCACTGGATAGTCAATATAACAGTGTATCACAAGTTCTCAAATATTTGACTAGTGAATTCATCTTCTTGTTGCGTTGTATATTGTATCCATTTTGTGACACATTGTTCAACATCTTTTGCCCCTTTTCCCCGTCAACCTATAGCCTTTGACTTATTGACATATCCAATGGAAAGAGAACAGTGTATCACTCTCCTCGTGACTCACAATACTTATACGTATGTATTGTAGCGTGGAATGCAGTTTCCATGGTAACTGCCTATAAGAGATGACAAGTTAACGGTTGCTAAACAGTGTGCTACAATTTACGTACATTACACTAAGGTAACCATTTACTGTAGTAATACAAGTACAATAAAGGAGATCTGGGTGCTGCTACCTGAGATTAATATTGTGCATAGAGCTATTCACAACCATTTTACTTGCAGCGCTGCAGAAATAGCCCTGCAATCTATCAAATCACATTGAAGGGTCTATTTTTAGTGTCTCACTGAACAAACCGCATTATAAATAAAATAAACTGGAGTCCTCTGCCGTCCAAGCATAATTCGAGGATCAACCACCAATCTATCAGCAGCGGATAAAAGGTACACTGAAAGGTATTGGATAACTTTTACCTTAATGCAAAGAATGCAATAAGGTAAACAACATCTAGTACCTTTTAGTGTCCCACGTCATCCCCCACGCTTACCTGTGCAAAGCTGTTCCCAATCCTCCATTTCCAGGGCCGTCTTTAACGCGGGGCAAAAGGGGCAGCTGCCCCGGGCCCAGTCAATGGAGTTTATTTATTTGTATGCAAGGGAGCCACACATGGTTTTTAAAAATGTTTCAAGTCCTCGTTCTCTAGTGGGTCCCTGCATTGCTCCCACCCCCCACCCCCTGCACAGGTGCCTCCATTAGCCGATCCTCCAGCTGCCCCTTGACTGCGTGACATCACAGATGGGGTCACATCTCCCTCTGACATCTTCTCCTATCTGCTCTGCAGAAGTAAGACGTAGTACGAAACAGCTCACATCATGCCACACACATCAATCAGAAGAGTGAGACGGGACATCTGGACTGAGCTACAGCTGCACCACAAAAAAAAAAAAGAACAACGGGTCTGCATACCATGTGTGGCTCCCTTGCATACAAATAAATTTAAAAAAGCAAAGGTCTAATGTCACGTTAATGCAGATTAATGCAGCTTAGAAGCAGGCCAAATGCACCTGTCAATGAACTCATGATCTCACAAGTGCCTCCATCTGATATGAAATGCAGGCAGAATGCACCTAAAGCAAACTACACTTACCCATCGACACAAGCCCAAAGCCTGTCAACAGGGGACCTAAAGACCGCTCTTCCCCTGTGTCTATCTATCTAAAACCATCATTACCTTAATGAACTGTATGCATCTGTAACATTGATTCAAATTTCCTAAGCAAATCCATCAGCACTGATGTAGGAAGGGAGGCAGTAGACATCTGTTCTCTGGGTTGTGTCTAATTCTCCTCTCTGTCGGATGAACAAAACATTTCAAAATCTACAAGCGATCCAAAGATCCCTCTTGTTTTTACAAAACAAAACAATTAGCACTTCAAATAATGAAGCCAAACTGGAGCTGACACGGTGGCCCAGGGCACCTGAGATAATTACACCAATTTGCTAATGCTACAAAGCACTAATCTGTCTTGAAACAATCGTCTCTCACGGGATGCTGCTGAAATATTAACAGCTGATGAAAAAGGCTCATATATGAAGCTCTGCATAAATCAGACAGCTGACACATATACAAAAGAACCTGACAAGAAATGTATATAGCAGTGCCCATACTCTTCCGATTACCTCTGTTACCCTTGCCGTGTGATATGACATGAGGAAGCTGACCTCACTTTTCAAAGCCTACAATTCTTCCACTGCCTGGCCTCCTAGAATAACGCTGAATGGGTGCAACCCACCCAGGGCATCCTTTCTCCTGTAAGCCCAACTATGTGACTCCCTACAATCCATCGGCTCATATAGCTACTTATTTTATCAGGTAAAAAATATATATATTTTCATTGTTCAAATGAAAAACAAATAAAAACACCTTGAATCCTCAGAACTGGAGGTGAAAAATTCAGAGTTCTCATTTCCCCAAAATATAATGGAAAATCTGTCCCTTATGATCTTGTCTGCTCTGTCCCTTATGATCTTGTACTGGGCAGGAAGTTCAGAGAAGCTGAGCGAATTGGAGCTGTTTGGAAACATGATGTCTGTAAGAGCTTGGGCAAAAATGTACAGAAATACTTTTCTGGGCAATGCATATGTGTTTGATCTGGAGTCATTATTGACAAAAAATGTTTGAGAGTTTAATACTAATGTCTCCTGAGGATTCTTGGAGCTTCTTTTATCTATGCAGGACATGTTCTTGGGTCAAAAAACGGCCCCTCATTAGCATTGTTTTTATGGTCTTTTTTACAGAAAGAAAAGAACAAATGTCACCTACACAACCCAATGAACGACACTGAGAGTTCTTGCTGTGACAAAATCAGTGTTCTAGCTGCAAAATCAATTTAGGACAAATCATTTGCTTATTATCTCTACTCTAAACCCGCAGCCAGAGTACAGAGTAAGACAGAAAAAACCCTTATGAAATGCGCTACAATGTGCAGTAAACAAATAATGATCAAATGGGAAAGAAAACCATATACAAAGGATTTAAACTACACTAAATACACCCCCAAAGTACACACTCACACCAAATAAAAAAAAGATTAGATGTTCTGTTTATTAGGCATCTTAATGAGCGAAACTGAGGGGTCTATTCACAAAGCTGCCGAAGGATCCAGCCATAGCTTCGGCTGATCCTTCGGCTAGTTTCGGTTGCGGGAGCCCTTCGGTTCAGTCAAACCGAAGGACTGCTAAACAGGCTATTCACTATAGCCCATACAGCACCCGAAGGCGGCCAAGCGGCTCAGCCGAGCCGAAGGCATTTGCTGTACCAGCCGTACTAAGCCGCATTGAATAGCCGAAGGTTGTTAGGCTCACTTCACTATGGCTCGGTTATTCACTCAGCTGCCTTCGGCAGCTTTGTGAATAACCCCATGAGAGTTTGCACTTCAGTATTTTCACTGCTGCTGTCTTAATCAGTTTTGTAGAAATCACTTCCCTACTTCCCAGTTCTCAAGGATTGGCTAAAGGGACCTTTGCCTTGCCTGTTAACACCTGAAATATGCCCTACTTGCACACACCAATCCATGCCATAGTGCCAT